AAAAAAAAAAAAATGAAAAAAAAGAAAAAGAAAAATCGCAGACATCTCAAGGAATGATCTCATTTTTCAGAGAGGGTGTACGAAGATCACGAGTTGCTGGTGGAAAATCTTTTACTGTGGACCAGAGACTCGAAGAATAAGCTGCTGTTCGTCGAGAGGCCAGAGAAAACTCAGCTGTTCCTCACTCCGGAGAGATTCCTTTTGGGCCCGTCCGATAGGAGCAGCGGCGAGTACGACGATCACTCGCGTAACATCCTTCTGGAGGAATTTTTCTCCAGCAGTAACGTCGGCGTGCCGGAGGTAATTAATTGGCTGGAGTACCGTTGATTTGATCACATGTTAGTTCGCGACTATATCTTATCAGGCCATTGTGTTTGATCAGAAATTACGAGAGCGGAAAGATAATGTTTTAATGCACGATACGAATCACGTGTACGATATCGAGCATATAAACAAAAGTTCTTAGATAAATAATAGAAACGAAACTTTTTGTTACATACTCGCCATTCTACGTATAAAGTAATCATTCGATTTATGGTACAGTCACTGCTACCATGCTTTACCTTTAATTATATAAATCGTTTCAATATGGAATATTCATTGATCTTGTCGATTGCTAAATTTATTATTGAATCAATTATCTAGGTCGAGGGACCATTGTATCTGAAATCCGATAGCAAGAAGGGTTGGAAGAGGTACCATTTTATTCTCCGCGCGTCCGGCCTCTACTATTGGCCGAAAGAGAAGGCACGCACAGCACGCGACCTGATTTGCTTGGCCACGTTCGACGTGAACCAGATCTACTACGGTGTCGGCTGGAAGAAGAAATACAAAGCCCCGACGGATTTCTGTTTCGCTGTCAAGCACCCTAGACTCCAGCAGCCCAAGTCCACCAAGTACATAAAGTTCCTCTGCGCCGAGGATAACGCGTCGTTGGAACGATGGATGGTCGGGATCAGGGTGGCCAAGTACGGTAGACAGTTGATGGAGAATTACAGAACCTTGGTGGACGAACTTGCCCAAGAGGATCTCGACATGCTGGCCCACGCAAGATCCTGCTCCGTCAGCTCGATCGCTGTGCCGGCTCGGAATCAAACCCAGTACAACACTACGAACGAGAACGCTCGCCAGTTCACGGAGAACTCGAGGCACAACGCGGAGGTGGCTAACGCCAGACAGTACGACGGCCAGAGGCAAAGTTACAATTCCGAGCAGCGGCAAAGTTACAACAACGACGGCAGGTTGAGCAGAGCCAGCAGCTCCAGTTCCAGCGGCTGTCTTTCCGACGGAGCGCCTAGTAGTTGCGAGGTAATTGGACAGATTTTCTCGAGAGTGTTATCGTTAACGCGTTCGAGATCGGTGAGCTACCTAGACTAGTCGAGTCACGCGATCTCTGTACTCAGTGGCAGCGAGGAATCGGCGCCTGGATCATCTGAGCAGAGTTAGTCTTTAGATTTTAATCGAAACGTTTGTTCCGTTAGAGAAGCGAATTAAGTAGCTTTCTAGAAAAGAAGAAAAAAGGTTTTTTTTTATATGTGTACGAGTGTCTAGGATATTTTAGAGAGAGACTTGAACGTTCAATTTACCAGGCTGAAATGTGTTAATAATTATCAATTTATCTTCTTTCGTAAAGTCGAGTGGATTACATCATCGGCTTATTTTATTTGCGCTTTTAGGTAGCTTTCGAGTGTGGCGAGTTCCCGACGGGCACGATAAAAAGGAAGCCTTCGATGAATCCAAAATTGCCCCTAACATCGATCACGAGACAATTGAAGGAAGTGGGCGAGACAGTTCGCGACGAGCCGGACTCTTGTCCGAGTCCAACGAGCTCGGGTTCTGGAACATTGACCAGAAGACACAGTCGAAGAAGGAGCGGTACTGATTCGGATGGGTCCGGAACTTTGAAGAGACACCATCGTTCTGGTAATGCGACTCCGGTTAGTCCTGTACCGCCTGGCACACCGGTCAGAGAAAGAGCGAGTCCAATGGGATATAACAGATCGGAGAATCAGGAATCAAAGACACCGACGAGCCCGATACCATCGTGTATGGTGAGTATTTGTCGTCTTAGACTTATTAAAAAACTTGGTAGGTTTAGACGATCAGGTGATCATTTTAAATTCACAGAATTCATAGGCCTACTCCACCGAGTAGTCAGAATAATCATCAAGATAATTATTTCGAAAGAGATGCACGAGATTATATCGCTTTTGCAGATGGATTCGATCACTTCGTTACCGCCACCGCCGTCACCCTCGAGAGTCGCGGAGGAAGCAGAATCCGACAACGAGCCACTTCCTCCACCTCCGCCAGAGATGTTCCGATCGAACCTCTCCCTGGACTCTCTACCGCCGCCTCCAGCACCTGGTGAACTGCCAGTGTGCAACACTCCAGAGCTTACCGGTTCTTCGTTAAGCCTGGCATCTCTTCCTCCGCCTCCGAGTCCCTTGGTCGGCGAAACAGGAACAATTCGACGCGCCAGACCGAAGCAGTCCACGCCTGCGAACTCGATAACTCCCGAGAGCACTCCGACGCACACGTCGTCCAAACCATCGACCAATCAACAGATGTATTCGAATGCAAGCAATTCGGCGATACAGAACAGCCAGAGCTACAGTTCGAACGCGCAAAACGCCCATCACGTGAATAACGCGGCGAACTCAGTGCCCTCTCCGCACAGTTCCTATCCAGGCTCTAGCGCCAGCACGCCGACCTACGCTCCGAGCTCGCCAAATTTCGCTTCACCCCCGCCATTCG